TAATTTTTAGATGCCTATGTGGAAAAAACACCTCAGCCTAATTGATTACATGGCACCATTTTCATTCCATTTCACACTCCCACCTCTCCCGCCTCTCCCGCCTCTCCCACCTTCTGAATAAACTAGTCTGCAGACATTGAAAAAAGAAAAGAAGGGCTAACTTCTCACTTTTGCAGGAACAAAACCCTAAAAGCTCTGTAATTTTCGATTGGATTTATCACTTTTTACAATCAGATCAGATTGACAATCATTGCATTATTTTCTCCTTCTCTTTCATAACTCTGCATTCCTTATCTTTCAAAACCAGCAGCAACTCCATCGCTCTACCCTTGATCTTTTCCTCATCAGCTAAGAAATGGAAGTAATTGCAAGGATCCTACATAGAAATCTTGTAAACTAAATAACCAATTGAGAAAAACCAAAACCACTGCCGAAAAATAGAGAAATTAACACTGCCAAAAAACAGAGAAATTAACACTGCCAAAAAACAGAGAAATTACCATCGCCAAAAAACAGAGAAATTACCATCGCCAAAAAACAGAGAAATTACCTTCTTCTTAGGACAACATCTAAACTGGGGACAGGAGAAACGGTTAGGCGACCCAAATGGTCCTTTAACGAGATGTGACGAGCTGCGACCTTGATCTTCATCAAGTCAATAAACCCATTGCTGCTCGATATCGTGATACTTCTCATGCTAGGCGAGAAGTGAAGCTGCATCGTTGTCTATGCAGCCCCACTGCAGAAGAATCTACCCTTCTAAAAGAACCGCCTTCTTCTCCAAGAATCACCGCAAATAACCTCTCTGTGCACCTCCCAACATCCAATCCACCACCCACCATCAGATCCACATCCAATTTGCGATCTCCCTATCTGGGTGTCCTTCAAATTCTGTCTTCTTTCTGTTCCAACTATTTTTATGCTGCTTCTTTTGGGTCTTACCAGCAAAGACCGCATTGGATTTCAGACGATCAAGATTGGATTTTCCGTCCCTTCCCACTTTATTTCTCCGTTTCTCCTGTTACCCAGTTTAATATTTGGGTTGTAAATGAAGTCCGAATAACAACATTTATTAATCCACAATTGCATCTATAATCTTCATTTCTAAACTCTGTAGAATCTGCCATGCTTCCACTCTCAAGTGAACCAAAACCTGAAACCGGACTCTGTGCAGAACCAGCTTCCATTTTATGATTCTCACAAACCCAAAAGCCAAAAGACAAATAGCAGAGGTTATACGGTTCAAGGGAAGAAGAATGAATCACAAAGTGTAAAAGATTTAGGGTTCGAAGAAGAAGAAGGAATCAAGAGTGGAAGAGGATTTAGGGGTCAAAGAAGGGTTCGGAGAAGAAAGACTTGCAGAGGATTTAAGGGTCAAAGAGGGAATCAAGGGTTCGGAGAAGAAATTGCAGATTTAAGGGTCGAAGAAGGAGTCAAGGGTTCAGAGAAGAACTTGCAAATTTAAGGGTCGAAGAAGGAATCAAGGGTTCGGAGAACAAATTGCAGAGGATTTAAGGATCGAAGAAGGGTTCGGAGAAGAAATTGTAGAGGATTTAAGGGTCGAAGAAGGAATCTAGGGTTCGGAGAAGAAATTGCAGATTTAAGGGTCGAAGAAGGATCTAGGGTTTCTGAAAAACAATGAAATGTATATCCTACTATTTTTATTTTATCAAACATGCCATGTAATCAATTGGGCTGAGGTGTTTTTTCCACATAGGCATCTAAAAATTAAAAGTTGTAATTATTGGACACTTAACGTGCCAAGTCAACAGTCTTTCAACGGAAGGACCATTTGGGTTCCAGAAAAATGAAGTTAAAGGACAACTTGGGTGCTTTCATTTGTTAAAGGACGAACTAAGTTCTCAAATGAAAGTTTAAGGACCAAATTGGGTATTAAACCTTAATATAAAGTGATAGTTATTTTTATTGATTTTAATAGATAAAGGGTTAAAACTTACAAATCTAATAAAATAAATGTTTAAAAGTATAAGGTAAATTGTTAAAACCTAGTAAGATGAAGATGAAGGGCTAAACCAGCTTTTTGCCAATGGAATGACCCAATTTGTTGAAAACTGAAGGTCATTGGCCAACGGCCACATCCTTTTTTGTTGAGAATTGGGGATTTTGGGGCACGAGACACTGCACAACCTCAATTCTCTTCAGCACTTTACGCATGACAGCCTTTTAAGGAGGAGGGTTTTCATTCCGCAACAAGTACAATGTCTATTTATTCACCCAAAAGGAAAAAAAAAAGTACAATGTGTAGGCCTCACTATTAGATTTACTTATAAGGAAATATTATTTTATAAATTAAATTTAAAATTTAACTTACGA